TTTGAGTTTGAGGCTAGTCTAAGCTGCATAGAGTACCAGCAGGGCTGCAGGGTGAAACTCACGTCTTTTCTATCCCATCCCCCCAAGCTAGCTAAGTAACTAAATATAAGAGTTGGTGGCAGCTGGGCTACAAAAGATCCTGTCTGAAAACACTCAGGTCTAAACCGTACAAAAACCAGAAACCAGTTCTTCCCCTTGTTCCCCAAGACTCCTGATGAAACAGCTAAGAGAGGCCCATGTCCCGAGTGCGGGAGGTGGGTGTCAGGAAGGAATTCCCCTCGTTCTGTCAGGAAGCGGCATGTTTAGAGTGCCTGCATCTGGTCAGATGTAGCTGCGCTGGGAACAAGCAGCCTTTGTTTCAGACAAGGCTCTTTTGGACCACAGCCATCCTCAAGGCATTTCCTGTGATGCTGCATGCCTCCTGTCCGAGCTGTTCAATACGGCGGCCACCAGCCGCAGGGGACAGTGAGCACCTGATGTGGCGACCGTGACTAAGAAACTGGATTTTTGTCATTTTTTCCTTAATTATTACAGGCATGTGCCAACTGAACCAACTATGCTCAGATTTTAATAAAAATAAGTAAGTCAGGCAAGGTGGGACACCCCTATAATGCCAGAATTCGGAAGATGGAGGCAGGAGGAGCAGAAGTTCAAGTTCTGCCCTAGCTACATGAGATCCTGCCTCAAAAACAAAGAAAAACCATCTGGGACTTCAGTTCCAGGGGATCTTGACACCCCTCAGACCTCCGGCACCAGGCCCATACATGGCGCGCTCACATATATATACGCAAAGCATTCATACATACAAAATAAATGAATCTAAAACCACTATAATTTTAAAAAATCTTTAGAATTTACTGCTGTGGCACACACCCTTAGTCCCAGCACTCGGGAGGCAGAGGCTTTCTGAGAGTTCGAGGCCTGCCTGGTCTACACAGTGTGTTCCAGCACAGCACAGTTAGGGCTACATACAGAGAACCTGTTGTTGTGTTACAAGCGGCAGGGCTGCGTCCCTGGCACGCGGCCGCCGGCATGGCTAGCTTTACCAGAAATAATTACACGGAAACTGTATTCTTTTAAACACTGCCTGATCCATTAGTTTCAGTTTCTTATTGGCTAGCTTTTACATATTGATCTAACCCATTTCTATTAATCTGTGTAGCCCACGAGCTGGCTTACCAGGAATGATCTTAACCTGCGGCTGTCTGGAGTGGGAGAATCATGGCGACTCCCTGACTCAGCTTCTTTCTCCCAGCATTCCGTTCTGTTTACTCCGCCTACCTAAGGGCTGGCCTATCAAATGGGTCTAGGCAGTTTCTTTATTAATAAGAAATCACTCCCACATCAAACCTGTCTCAGGAAAGGAAAGGGAAAAGAAAGAAAACAAAAAATAAATAAAATGCTCTGAGAGGAGAGGGTGCGCTACTCACTCTGCTCAGTCTCTTCTTGTATTTCCCTCACAGGGTTTCACTATGTAACCCAAACTCACAATTCTCCTGCCTCAACCTCCCAAATGCTAGATTTCAGGTATATAACACCATGCCTGGTTAAAGACCTTTTTTGTTTTTTTGTTTTTCAAGATAAGGTTTACTCAGTAGTTCTGTAGACCAGGCTGGCTTTGAACTCACAGATATCTGCTTGCCTCTGCCTCCCAAGTGCTGGGATTAAAGGCGTGTGCCACCACCGCCTGGCCTAGTTAAAGTTCTTTTCTTTCATTTCTTTGTGTTTATTTTTTTCTCTGCGCAGGGCCTACTTTCTCCCCACCATCTTTTATTTTTCTCTTTTCCTTTCTTTTTTTTCTTTTTGAGACAAGATCTCTCTATATAACCCTGGGACTTGCTATGTAGCCCAGGCTAGCCTCGAACTCACAGAGATCCACCTGCCTTTGTCTCCCTAGAGCTGAGATCATATCCAGTCATTGTCCCCAGTTTTTTGTTTTTGTTTTTTTTAACCTTCTAGTCCTTTCTCTCCTGGGACCCTCCCCAGGTGGTCCCGTCCCCTATGGCCTGCTCCAGTCTCTGCCAATCTTGCTTAACTGCTAATCTGTTACTGTTTTGCTCTGAAGACCATCTTCAAAGTTGGTCATGCTCTGCCTGTCTTCCTAAAGGCCAGAAATTATGTGCTTGGCTCAGAAAGCACGACTTTTCCTCCTGGCACACTCCAGTCTTTCGCACGGCTCCCCGGGGTTTCACACTCCAGTCCAATGCATGGCCTCAAGTCACACCTTGCAGAGGCTTCAAAAGGCAAAACCCATATTTCATCGCATTTCCCATCAGGTCCAATCAGGGGCAAGCATCTATGCTGATGTATTTCCTGCTCACGTGATCAAGCACAGCTGTGCAGATGGGTCAAACAAACACAGAACAAATGGGAACTTATTCTTAACCGCACACAGAGCCCCTAAACTGCGAGGTTCATTTCTCCTGGTCTCACAATATGTGTGGGTATCTGCAGAAGTCAGAAGAAGATGTTGGTTTTCACAGTGCTGGAGCTGCAAGAGGTTGTCAGGTATCTAACACGGGTGCTGGGAACTGAACCCGGGTCCTCTGGAAGAAAAACAAGTACTCTTAACCACTGAGCCATCTCTCCAGCCCATATTTAACATTTTTTTTATGTTTGCTTGCTTGTTTTTTGTTTTTTTTTTCCCCTGGGGGGGTGGTGTCTCTCCATGTAGCCTTGGCTGTCCTGGAACTCACAGAGATCCACCTGTCTCTGCCTCCTAAGTGCTGGAATTGAACATTTATTTTTTGGTATGTATATGTATATGCCATAGTTTGTGTGTGAAGGTCAGCTTGCTGTGGGCAGTGCTATTTCTGGGCAGGTTGCATAAGAAAGCAGGCTGAGCAAGCCATGAGGAGTAAGCCAGTAAGCATCACCCCTTCATGGCCTCTGCATCAGCTCCTGCCTCCAGGTTCCTATAATGAGTCTTTAACCTGGACTTCCTCAGTGACGGACTGTTACCAGGAAGTATAAGATGAAATAAACACTCTCCCCAAGTTGCTTTTAGTATTGGTGTTTATCACAGCAACAGAAAAGCAAACACACACACATACACACACACACACATACACATACATACATACACACAATTTTGTTTTTAAGATTTTTTTTAAGCTGGGTAGTGGCACATACTTTTAATACCAGCACTTGAGAGGCAATGGCAGGTGGATCTCTGTGAGTTCGAGACCAGCCTGGTCTACACAGTAAGTTCCAGGACAGTGGGACTGTCCCACAGAGAAAACCAGTCTTGAAAAACAAACAAATACTTTGTTTTTAAAATGCGTGCAGGTGCCTTGTCTGCATGTAGGCCTGCAGGCCAGAAAAGGGCATCAGATGGTGAGCTGCCATTTGGGTGCTGAGAATTACACTGAGACCTCTGGAAGAGCAGAGTGCTCTTACCTGCTGAGCCATCTCTCCAGTCTCCGAGATAATAAACTTTAATTAAAAAACAAAAACAAAAACTGGCAACCCAGTGCCTTGGTTCAGAGACAATGTCAGGGCTGTGGTGCAGCCTACCTAAAAAGTCCTGCTGTTTCTCCCACAGCTTGGATTATTTTTATTTATTGGAGTCTGGTGTTCCCAGGAGATCTGTGGGCTGGGAACAGAAGCACACAAGATGTTTTTATAAACATTCCCTGTCCTTGTGACCTTTGAGGGGTCTGTTAGAAAATACAAAACCTTGCTCGCTTCCTGAGAACACCATGGCAAAAAAAAAAATTCTCAGCTGGGTGTTAGTTTTGGGAAATGTTCAGATTTCCCTAACAGAACAAGAGAAGATAAACTTGCATTTACTCAGCAAAGAGCCCAAATTCTTCACATTAACCAAGCATGACAGTATATGTCTGCCATCCTAACACTTGGGAGATAAGTGCAGGAGCAGCAGGAGTCCAAGGGCATCCTTGGCTACATTGTGAGGTGGAGGCCAGCCTGGGCTACATGAGACTACCTGAAAAAAGAAAAGAAAAGAAAAGAAAAAGAATAATCTTCTCATTAGAGAAACCCTCTGGATGAGGTGACAGAGTTTTATTTATTTGGGGTTTTATTGGTAGTGGTAGTAGTGTAAGACTTTAAGACAATTCTGAAGCCGTTTTTGACAATTATGAATCCTCTCAGCCTCTGTGCCATAGTGCTTCCCCTCCTCCCCTGGGAACCAAGGACCTAACCGCTACACTCGCACGTACTCAGTTCCTGAACAATTACCCATATACATATGTTTTGGTTTGGTCCCCTGGGAAACGGGGTCAAAATGACCTCTTACCTCATCTGATCTGGCAACAGCTCTCCAGTCAATTATTGGTAATAGCCCTTTCAAATAAGCCAATCAGAATAGTCAAAAAACAACCCCCCCTTGCTTTTGTGGCCCCTTTAAAAGTAGACTGTACCAACTATTCGAGGTCTCTCGGCTTCCCGAATGCTGAGGGACCCTGTCATGACAGAATTAATAAAATCCTCATGCTTTTGTCTCAGCTGTGGTGTGTGAGATGGTCTCTGGGGGTGACTCCTTCTCGGTGTTTGGATGCTAGAGTCCAACAGTAGGTTGGTTTGGGTTTGTTTGTTTGTTTGTTTGTTTGTTTGTTGAGAAGGGGTCTCTCTCTATGTAGATGTCCTAGAACTTGCTATATAGACCAGACTGACTTTTTAACTCATAGAGACCTGACTGCCTCTGCCTCCTGAGTGCTGGAATTAAAGGTGTGCACCACCAGGCCTGACTGGAGTAGCAGTGTTTTAAAAGAATATTTCCAGTGTTGCACAAAGAGACTCACAAACAAAGCAAAAGTAATTCAAGGCAATTTCCTTTTGCAAAAGGGTGCACAGTGACCCAAACCCAGCAAGCAAACACTCACTCGGCTTATATTAGAATGTCGAGTGGTGACTGAATCACTCCACAGGCAAGCTTGGCCTCCTCACAGTCTGATGTAATTGGCTGATTGTGGCTGTGAAGGGGAGGGGTGTGATAGCCTCCTAGAAATGTCTGGCATCTGTGGGTTGGGCAATGGAAGTTTTTGTTTTGTTTTGTTTTTTTTTTTTTTTTTGATTTAATAAAGCTTTATTTTTCCAAAAGTACAGCTGATTGAACCTGTTCATGCATCTTCACCAGCAGCTGGGGCATCTCCACCCTTTGTGTTTCTGGTGTAAATTACTTGGGCTCTGTGCTTTGAAACCAGCTTGATAAGCCCTTTACTAAGGAGCTCCTGAAGAGCTGCCCTGGCCAAGGAACCGCGAATCTTCAGTCTCTCAGAGACCACGGCTGGAGTAATAAGTTTATAGTTGGGCACTTCCTTACAGAGTTTGTCGTATGTAGCCTTGTCAAACAGGACTAGATTGTTGAGCTTGTCCCGAACTTTGCCTTTGGACCACTTCTTCTTTTTGGCCTTGCCACCGGACTTATTTACTGGGTCTTTGTCTTTTTTGGCCGACTTTCCGGCATCTTTCTTCTTCTTGTCATCCTTGGGCGGCATGATGAAGTTCGGAGAGTGGCGACGACCACTGCAGCCTCCCTAAGATGTCGGGGAAAAAAAGCTTTGTTTTGTTTTTTGTTTTTGTTTTTCTGAGACAGGGTTTCTCTGTGTAGCTTTGGAGCCTGTCTTGGAACTCACTCTGTAGACCAGGCTGGCCTTGAACTCACAGAGATCCACATGCCTGTGCTGGGATTAAAGGCGTGGAGCCACCACCACCCGGCACAGACGGGGGAAGTTTATAGAATACTGGCCTTTGTCAGATTGCTCATCTTTGATAGAAAAGACTGTTTCTTGTGTCTGTGTGTCTGTCTCTGTGCATATGTCTCTGTGTGTGCCGCATGCCTGAGAGTGTGCTGGTCTGCACACCGTATGTAGAGGAGGGCGTTCAGAGATCAATTTCTTTTATCACACTCCACCTTATCTCCCTGAACCAGAGTGCCGCAGTGATCAGAAGTGCACCTTTTCTATCAGGCCAGCGGACATGGGAGTCAGATCTGCCGTTTCTGCCTCCTAGATGCCAGGATGAGAGGTGCATTCAGCCATGCCCGGGTTTCCATGCTGGGGATCTGATGCTTGCAGATGGAGCACGCTTACCACGGAGCCCTATCCCCAGCCCCCAGCCTGGGATGGGAATGCATCTCAAGAAGCTTTTCTTTTCCCCCATCATAAAACTTTTATTAAATATTTGGGAATTTCATACAACGCACCCCAAAAAAATGTCTTTTGGGGACCAATCATCAGGGACTACATGAGACCTAATCTATAAAAAAAAAAAAAAATCAATAGCAAAAAAAAAAAAAGGAAAGAAAGAAGAAAGAAAAACAAACAAGCAAACAAACAAAAAACAGAGTTCTCTGAACCAAGCACATTAGTGCAGGCCTGTGAACTCAGCACTCAGGAGGCAGAAGCAGGAGGACAGCTAAAACTTAGAGGCCAGCCTGGTTTCCACAGTGAGCTCTAGATCAGCTAGTGAGAATCTGTTAGAGAGGGCGAGAGAGACTCTGCTGGTCGTTGCTAAACATTGCCATCCTTTCTCATCAGTATTTCCCAAACCTTCCCAACAACACGAGCCACCTGAGAACATGTAGGTGCCACTGTCCTAATGATCTGCTGCTCAGTGTGGCAGAGAACAATAGCAGTTCTCAACACGCACCAGCGCCATTTAGGCCATGTTCCCAACCCTTGCATGTTGTTCTCAACCTAGGAAGTAACAGATCTAGGCTGTGAGCCTGCTGAGTTAAGTCACCTGTTATTGGCTAGGCATGGTCAGGACCTCTGACAGCACCAGGCAGACTCCAGGTCGGCTCCTTTTGGCCTGGTAGGCATTAACTTCCCATATACCCACCCTTTTTATTTATTACATAGGGCGCTCAGTGGAAGCCAGAGTTCTTTGCTCAGGCCTTGTTGACCCTGGCTCAGGAGGGCTCAGCAATTGGACTGTGCCTGTCTTAGGTTGGCCTACCGAACACGGTCTTACCCATCATTGACTAACCCTTGAAGAACATTCATTTCTGAAGAGCTGCTAGGGTGGGGGGGACTAGGCAATAGCCTTTTGAATTGCAGATAACCAGGCATGCATAACCTCCTGTGGAGGATTGCAAGAAGGATGCCCTAGAGCCATTAACAGCTGAAGAGTCAGTTGCCTTAGTTGTTGTTTGCTGATGTTGAATCTGCTGCAGGAGACATTTAAAGAGAATAAGGGTTAACAATTCCACCCTGTCAATTAATGCACATGTGAACATCCAGGATAGATCTAATAGCCTGTTTATATTATGCCAAACTTTTTTTTTTTTTAAAAAATGAGGAATCAAAGGCCATCACCTTTGCCCCTTAATAAATCAATGTGTTTGGGGGACAATGTCAGCAAAAAGGAGAGTATTTATATTACCCATCCTGGGTTATTCCCTTCTTGGTAGAAGTAGGCTGATCCATGGCTGGGCTTACATCTCTTTCCAGGACCCATATTAGTGTTGTAGCAGTCTGAGAAAAAAACAAACATATCCTCTCCCACAGGCTAGCAGTGGGGGCTGTAGGCTGTCATTGGAAGGAGATAGGATCTCTCCATCTCAACAGGGGCAGGGATGCCCAGTGCTTGTAAGCTGGGGCTGAGCCCCTTATCATCAAAACTGAGAAAGTTCATATGGAAAGGACCTCTGTTAAGGACAGATGAGGATCTCTCCTAGCCTCTGGAGAGCTAGTCGTGGCCAGCAGCTCCTTAAGAGCTCTGTTGGTCTCTCCACAATGGCTTGTCCTTGTGGATTGTAGGGTATACCAGTGGTATGGGAAATCTTCCAAGAACCCAGAAAGTCATTGGATTGTTGAGAGGCATAGGCAGGGCCATTATCAGTCTTAAGTGCCCAAGGGACCCCATAACTACCATGGCTGACTTAAGGGCTTTGATAGCATTGGCAGCTTTCTCTCCACACACAAACAAAGGAGGAAACAGTATCTGTTATCACATGAACATATTTAAGATCACCAAAGGGGGCTGAAAAGAGCTTAAGTGTCCACCCTTGCCCAGGGAGTTGTTCAGAGCTGTTGTTCCTTTTTGGAGAAAAGTTTGCACATGTGCAGAAGGACAATTCCTTAACTGGACTACAAATCCCAGCTTGACGGAGAGCCACACATGTGCAGGACATTTTCCCAGACGCACCTGGATCCCCTTTAAAAAACGGGGAACGCCATAACTCGCCCCTTTTTCCTTCCGTCTCTTCACCCCTGTCCCTCACCTGTTGTCACCCCCCCCCCCCATTAAAGTTTATCCACGTGGGACCGCCGTGTGTCTCATGTTTTCTCTCCAACCACACAGAAAGAACAAGATTGGTGCTGTCTGCTAGGGGACCTTTCCTCCAGGTATCTTCACCTGAGGCCGCGGCTCCGGTTTTTGGTGCCTTCCGGAGCCCGGGGCCTCCCGGGACAAGGTCAGGACCGAGGACCTGTGACTGCCCCCATGTGTTAAATACGGTCATCTGCAACCAACAGCGGCTAATTCGTGAGTTCACCTGGGTTGGCTTACCGTCCCCTCTCACCCAGAGATCGTCCGGTGGAGCTCCTGGCTTTCTTTGGTGTGTCCTGGGTACAGATGCTGACTCCTCCCCCTCCCCCCAGCCTTCCACCCTCGGCTAGACCTGTTTTTATCCGCGCCTGGAAGCTCGAAGCTTCCAGTTCTCACCTCTTCTTTCTGATCTTTTTTCTGTCCTCTTTACGTACGGGCTCATTACGGTATGAGCACCTCGGCTGCAATGGGCTGCCTAACCCTTCTGGCCTGATTGTGACCCGTCGGAGGCTAGGATTGGTTCAGTCAAGACATTAACACTGCCCTCTGGTCACTCGGACGCCTGTGTCCAGAGCCTTGCCAGTGTTCGTGGCATCTTCTAGGTGCCTTTTGCGGATATATTCACGGTTCTAGCCATGGGTGCTAAGCCTTCAAAAACAGTTCCCCCATTCTCTCCTCTGGGACAACTTCTGGAGGCTCTTCAACCTCACGCCCTAATTCCTTCTGTTAAGTTATCCACACTCATCCGTCTTTGCTCTAAGACGTGGCCAAGATACAGTTTACACGGAAACTTTAAATGGCCTCCTCATGGCTCCTTTGACCTCGATATTTTACTCGATATTTTACTTCTGCCATCGTTCTGCTAAATGGAAAGAAATGGTGTACATTATGGCGTTCTTTTACATGGTCCTTAAAACTGACCCCTCTGCTGCTTCTCACTGTTTACCTGCACATATGTTCTTAGCAATGCCATCCCTCCAGGAACCCTCTGCTCCTGCCATGGACCCCACAGATGAACCTCCACCCCCCAGCCTCGAGGGGCCACCCCCTCTCGCTCTGCCCAGTCGAGTGACAGCTCACCCATTCCTCTTTCCTCCAAGGTTTCTTCTAGGCACAGGAAGGACTCACCTACATCTCCCCATAACGCCTCTAAATATTCCACTTCTAGGTCTCTGGGAGTCCTGCGTAAATATTCTTCCAGGTCACCTAACTGTTCTCCTTCTAGGTCCCCAAGAAACTCCCGTTCCAGATCTACAGGGGCCTCGCCTAGTCCCTCTGACTCAGCTTCACCCCATTTTTCCCACAGCAGGTCACACAGGCAGCCGGAAGCTTCTTCGGACTCTTCTTCATTCCCCTCCCACCCTATGCCTCCCCCTCTATCTTCCAAAGCCCCTCTGGGCTCCTGCCATCACTAATCACCATTCCCCCATTGTTATTCACTTAAAACACCCACACCTGAGGATATCAGGTTTCTAAAAGCTACCATGGCCTCCTGTCAGATCTGCCAAAAGATAATGGCCCAGAGTTTACTTCCCAGATTTCTCAAAATCTGTCTAGGGCACTTGGAATCCCCTGGAATTTCCACATACTGTACCACCCTCAGTCTTCAGGTAAGGTAGAATGGACTAATCATTCTTTAAAGGAAGCCCTCATTAAAATGTCACAGGAACTCCACCTCGACTGGGTAAGACTTCTGCCTCTGGCTCTTCTCAGGCTTCGGCCTCTCCCAAAGGGCCTCCTTTTCATTTCACCCTTCGAACTCATGTATGGGCAGCCGTTTTTAACCCCTGGCCTCTCATCGGGAACCTCTCCCATTCCTGATCATCTGCTCACTCCCCTCCTTTTCCACCTACTCGCTACTGTGGGACTTCACAGATCACTCACTACCTCAACCATGTGCTAACACATGTCCACTGCCGGTTGAAATAGGAGATAAGGTATTATTCTCACCTTCAGGTCAACGTCCCTCACCCCTTTCCCCTAAATGGCAGGGTCCCCTCAGAGTAATCCTTCTAACTCCCACAGCTGCCAAGCTTGAAGGAATTCCTCACTGGATTCACCTGTCACATCTTAAACTGTTCATCTCCATGGCTTAAGATAATCCTCCATACACAGTAACTCAGACAGGACCTTGTTCTCTTAAGTTCCAAAGGACACCAGGTTCAGCCCCCTCTACTCTAGTCTAAGGAAAACAGTAGTCCCATCCTTCACTTGACACACCCTCCTTTCTTTAAATTCCTAAATAACCATCCAGCTGTCATTACAGAAATCATCATTGAACACAGAGTCAAAGG